CCTGGTTCACTAGCAGGCAGACAGTGTATCATGGGACTTCTGAGCCCTCATAATCGTTCAAGTCAATTTTCATAATAAATCCCCTCTCATTTACCTGCCTACCTGCCTACCTGCCTACCTACCTACCCACCTAACCAACTGTCCTATTGGTTCTGTTTCTCTGGAGAAACCGAATAGACCCATCCCTGCATTGCAGCCTGGAAAGTGGCTGCAGGCGGTAAACTGGACAATCAAAGCCTTACCTCGTTTGTGTGTCTCCTCCTGGGGATCACTGTTGTCCAATGTTCAACATCTGTTTTACATATTCTGTCGGGGTTTTAAATTTTTAAGCAGGGAGGCAGATTCCATCCCTATTTTTGTGTTTAATTTAAATACCACAAATAATCCAGAAGGAAAAAGCCTGTACTTACAAACCCTAAAAACCTAGCACAGAAAAGACTCACCTATCCTGGCAGTGAACGCTGTCCCATTTTCTTCCTAGCAATGCTGAACAGGATCAATTTATTCTGACAATTGTTATGACTACCAAGAAAGTAAGGCGCTTCCTTAAAAGATTTCTGGCCAGGGGTGGTGGCTCTTGCCTGTAATCACAGCACTTTGGGAGGCTGAGGCAGGCAGATCACGAGGTCAGGAGTTTGAGACTAGCCTGGCCAACGTGATGAAACCCCGTCTCTACTAAAAATACAAAAATTAGCTGGGCATGGTGGCGGGCGCCTGTAATCCCAGCTACTCCAGAAGCTGAGGCAGGAGAATCACTTAAATCCAGGATTCAGGAGGTTGCAGTGAGCCGAGATCGTGCCATTGCACCCCAGCCTGGGTGTCAGAGTGAGACACTGTCTCTTTAAAAAAAAAAAATTCTTAAACTTGGATTTACAATAAACAAATTTTACTCGTTTACCCCCACAAGCGGTAATTACATCACATGCCTCCCTTGCCTTCTGTAATTCTCTCAATGTGGCAGTTCTTTCATGCTGCAGGGGAATGCTGTAGCCTTCGTCTTTCCCATTTGCACAGATGCTGCATCTAGCTTTGACAACAACACAATATGATGTCTGGGAGGCTAAGATGCCTGTAAGTAGCCTTGCCAAACAGAAGGCTTTATACTACAAAGTGTTGTAACAACAAGCAAACACTGCTTTCCGAGAAGCAATTTCCTGCACAGAAAAGAGTTCTAAATTATTTCTGAAAGAGAAGCCCCATCATCTGGCATTTGATGATCCTCCATGCCAAGATGAGAAGGTACTCTTCAAGCAGATCCTCCCTTGGAAAGAAATGGTAGCACCTATGTGAGATAATGTTGGTAGGTGGTTTGGAAAAGAAGGTCAGAAAAAGTTGGTTTTATTCCATGGTCCATTCAAACATCCTGGCTGGTGGGCCAGATGTGGTGGCTTACACCTGTCCCAGCACTTTGCGAGGCCAAGGTGGGCAGATCACTCAAGGCCAGGAGTTCTAGACCAGTCTGGCCAACATGGAAAAACCTTGTCTGACATGGTTAGGCTTTGTGTCCCCACCCAAATCTCATCTTGAACTGTAGTCTCCATAGTCTCCATGTGTCAAGGGAGACACCAGGTAGAGGGAGAGACCAGGTGGATGTGACTGAATCATGGGGGCAGTTTCCCCCATGCTGTTCTCATGACAGTGACTAAGCTCTCACAAGATTTGATAATTTTATAAGTTACAGGGCTCTCCTGCCTTCGCCTGGTACTTCTCCTTCTTGCCACCTTGTGAAGAAGGTATCTTGCTTCCTCTTCACTTTCTGCCATTATTTTAAGTTTCCTGAGGCCTCCCCAGCCATACTGAGATGTGAGTCGATTAAGCCTCTTTCCTTTATAAATTACCGAGTTTCAGGTATTCCTTCACAGCAGTGTGAGAACAGATTAATGTATCATCTCCACTAAAAATACAAAAATTAGCCACATATTGTGACATGCACCTGTAATCTCAGCTACTTGGGAGGCTGAGGCAGGAGAATCACTTGAACCTGGGAGGGTTCAGTAAGCCAAGATTGCACCACTGCCCTCCACTCTAGCCTGGGATACACAGCAAGGCTCTGTCTTAAAAAAAAAAAAAACCCTGGCTGGACTTTCCTACATGCACATCAACACAATCATCAGTGTAAGCTGGGCCCTCATGTTATTCTGTAAAAGGTGAATGATAACAATAAACAGGGAAGGGTGTGTTGAGTGCATGGGAAATGACCTGTGAGGCAGGTAAGGCCAGACTCAGACTCAACTAGGAAATGCTCGAAGGTTGTCTTCAAGGTCTCTGTACCCTCACATGGCCTTCAGATTCCTTCTTCATTTTCCCTCACTCAGTTCTTCCAGGGCTAACCCTGCCCTCCACCCCAGACCTGAGCAACTCCTGGACAGCATCCTGTGTTCTCTCCAGAACTAATGTATGGTCTGTTGCCCATTTACAGAGAGATAGGTAGAAATTCAGTGTAAGAACTTAGAAACTTTTACAGCAATCAACAGAATAATTTTAAATTTGTTGAATATAATAACTAATAATATTATAAACCAGGACTTGTATTTTGCACTTTTATTTTTCTCATAATTCATTTCTGTTATATTTTGCAAAAGTAACTGTCCTCAACACTCCAGCCTGGGTAACAGAGTGAGACCCTGTGTCAAACCAACCAACCAACAAACAAAAAAGCAACAAACTAGTGCCAATATCCAAGTCTGTGAGAGAAGAAACACGTGAAGGTCTGCCGGCCCCACATCAAGAGGCAGCTGGAAACGTGGTCACAGTGAATTCTGCATTGAATCTTGGCTTCAGGAATGACTACTTAGGCTGATTTAAAAGACTATAGTATAATATGATCTGATATACATCCCTGTTCTTTAAAGCACTGAACTGTAAGACTGGATATAGAAAGCCCCATATGTTGACCAAATAGAGGTGTCTGTAAGTCTTCAGGTGAACATTAAAACCAGGATGTAAACAGTACTTGAGAAAGAAAAAAATCAATAGCCTAAAAGCCCAGCAAGAGTAAATGGCTAAGCAAAGCCATCAGTATCTGCTAGAGCAGCTGGCTTGGATGCCAAGTAGATCATGAACTGACCAGTGTGACAACTACCTACAAACTTAGAAATTCATGCAAAGTTGCAAATCTTTATTTATTGCAGTAATGTTTATAATGGTTTTTAAAAAAGAAAGAGGAACTGGATGTTTAGTAACAGAGAAATGGTTGAACAATGTAGTATAATGCCCTCATGTCAAAGATTGTGTTAGATCTCTCCTAGTTGAACCAGAATAGTTTCACAGCATTTTGAAAAGTGGAAACAAAAAAATCTGGCATGATGGCTTGTGCCCATAATCCCAAAACTTTGAGAGGCTGAGGCGAGTGGGTCACTTGAGCCCAGGAGTTCGAGACCAGCTTGAGCAACACAGGGAGACCTCACCTCTACAAAAAATACAAAAATTAGTCAGGTGTGGTGGTGGGCCCCTGTGGTCCCAGCTACTCAGGTGGCTGAAATGGGAGGATTACTTGAGCCCAGATGGTCAGACTATATAAGCCATGATCATGCCACTGTGTTCCAGCCTGGGCAACAGAGTGACACCCTGTCTTAAAAAGAAAAGTGAAAAAACAAGATACAGACTGGGCACAGGGGCTCATGCTTATAAATTTTAGTACTTTGGGAGGCTGAAGTGGGAGGACTTCTTGAGGCCAAGAGTTCAGGGCCACCTCTGGCAACACAGCAAGACTCTGTCTCTACAAAAAAAAAAATGTTTTTAATTAACCAGGTCTGGTGGTATGAACTTTTAGTCCCAGTTACTAGTGAAGCTGAGGTGGGAGGATCACTTGATCTCAGTTCTAGGTTACAATAAGCTATGATCATGCCCTCCAGCCTAAGCAGCAGAGGAAGATTTTGTCTCAGAAAAAAAAGAAATAGTCACCAAAGTTATGGTAGATATTTTGAAGGCAGTTATTCCTGATGATTTTATTTTCTTCCTTGTATTTCTCATTTGAATGTTTATTTACAATAACCAGATATTATTTATATAAGAAAAAACTCACTAAAATACACCATCTACATATCCTAGATTGTACCTTCCTTATTTCCCTCCTCCACGTCCCACTTCCCCCTCAAGTCAAGTCCCTTCCTCCCCAGCCTCATGCCACAATGACAGTTAAGGCTTTCATTGTCTCTAATGGGCCCCTGCTTCAGTCTCTGCCCTTTCCAGTCCTTCACATGGAAGCCAGGGTGACCTTTCTATGTCGTGCATCTGTGTAAGACACTCCCGTGCCTGAACCTCTTCTAAGCTGCTCAGACCCGGAGCAGCAGTTTCTAATCTTCAGCACTGCATTTTATAGCCACAGCTACTTCCCTCTGTCCTTTCCTGAAGATTCATTCAAACATCACTTCCTTCAGCAACTCCAGGATCTCTCCTCCCATTTTCCTGTAGTACTCTGTGTATTTTTAGTAGAGACAAGGTTTCCCCATGTTGTTCAGACTGGTCTTGAACTCCCAACCTCAGGTGATCCGCCCACCTCTGCCTCCCAAAGTGCTGGGATTACAGGCGTGAGCCACTGCACCTGGCCAGAAATCATTATTTTTAATGATTTGTTGTTTCTCCCTCCCTGCCTACACTATGAGCTATTTAAAGGTAGGACTGTATTTTTACTGCATCAATTAATCTGTAAAAAAGCAGGCCCCCAAAGTGTAAATGCATACCAACCATGTAAAGTGTCTGTGTAAGCACTGAAAAAAGGTTAAAAGATAAACAGTTTCAAGTTTTTTCCCTTTTCCAGAAAGTTGCTTGAGTTACTTTTAACTTGATTGCCAGTCATTCACTTAATGAGTAATTTATGTACAAGTTATCAAAAGTTACCTACAGTTTAAATCGAGATCAAAATAAAAACAAAGTCCAATAGGAAACCATTTTACCCTTTTTAAATAAAATAGAAGTTCAACATTCTCCTTCATATCATGCTAGTTCTAGACACAGCATCTCTCCCCGATAAAACATGGCCCAGCTGTGTGGTTACTTACTGGAATTGAGCAGGACCATGGCCTTGACACAGAGATACTCTTTGTGTTGGAGTTTCAACTCTCGAAACCTTGAAGTAGTTGCCAGGAGCATGTCAAAGACTTCCAGAATTCCTTCTACGCATTTCCCCTCATCCCTATAAAAGTTCATTTGAAAATTTAAGGAACACGGCTTCAAGAAACCATCAGGAAACAATCAGGAGTGTTTTATTTTTAAACTCAAGTTTCATCTTTCAACATGTTCATCTGATAATACCATGTTAACTACAACAGGGTGTTAATGAGACCACACCCAGCAATATGAAATTACGAGAACTGTCTTCATATAAAGAAGATAGGCCAATTCCTATAAATCCCTATAGTAAATATATGAATAAATATTATTTAGGCAAAAATGTGCATTGGAATTATATTTTCCTTCTACATTTTCACCAAATGTTTTCTTACAGGAATACCACTCCTATTGATTGCTTTCAATCTAAACCATGTCAGTCAACCAGCCCCAGATATGACACATATTTCAAAAATGAGATGTTCCATATTAATGAGGAAGACTGTGTGTCACAGCAGCAAATATCCCAAGAATAAACCTCTAAATCTAGGGCTTAATTCTCACTTCCTGGTGGTCACTTAGAAACTGGCGTAGCAGCCAGGTGCAGTGGCTCACACCTGTAATTCCAGCACTTTGGGAGGCTGAGGCAGATGGATCACTTCAGGTCAGGAGTTTGAGATCAGCCTGGCCAACATGGTGAAACCCTGTCTCAAAAAAAAAAAAAAAAAAGGCCGGGCGCGGTGGCTCACGCCTATAATCCCAGCACTTTGGGAGGCTGAGGCGGGTGGATCATGAGGTCAAGAGATGGAGACCATCCTGGTTAACAAGGTGAAACCCCGTCTCTACTAAAAATACAAAAATTAGCTGGGCATGGTGGCGCGTGCCTGTAATCCCAGCTACTCAGGAGGCTGAGGCAGAAGAATTGCCTGAACCCAGGAGGCGGAGGTTGCGGTGAGCAGAGATTGTGCCATTGCACTCCAGTCTGGGTAACAACAGCCAAACTCCATCTCAGAAAGAAAAGAAAAAAAAGAAAAGAAAAGAAAAGAAAGAAGGAAGGAAGGAAGGAAAGAAAGGAAAGAAAGAAAAGAATGAAAGAAACTGGTGTAGCAACTAAGACATTCACATTTAATTTGAAAAAAGCGAATATGACATACAAAGAAATCACAATTAGAGAAGATGGATTACAATCAGGAAAAGAAGGTACACATGGAGGTGGGGAAAATTTTTGACTTGCCAAGGGATTATCTTTAAACTTTGAGTAATCTAATCAAAATTATTTTGAGCACTCCTTATAGAAATAAATGTTTACATATACTTTTGAAGTAAATTACTTGAACTTTATCTGGAAACATATCAGCTTCTATTCACTGCAGCCAGACACACATTATTCTATCTCACTGCTCCCCCAAAACACTATATTATCAATCACAGGGGTATTGAAAGTCCTTACCAAGCAGTTAGATGATTTTGTCACAAAAACCACCATTTGCTCCTGAAAGCCTGCAGTTCACCCGAAGGGCAATGGGTTTATGTGAGTTCCATTTTTAGTCTCCCAGCAGTCCCTGAAGGGACCTTGAGGTCTTCGAAGAACTGGTTACTCCCCTCCTCCTTCCCCAAAGTCAGGGCATTTTCAGTGACGACAGTATTTCAGGAAAGGGCCTCTGACACCACTGCAAACAGCAATCCTGGGGAAGTCTTTCCCATTAGCTGCTGTATGATGGCACTCACTGGGATCCTGCATTCCAAAGCATTCACTCACCCACCCCCACAGACTCACTCACATAGAGCTACAAGCATGCAAATTGCTTACTTTGGCATATGAGAGTTACTAAGTTATTAAAATTTACTAAATTGTAAATTCTGCAAACACTTGCAAGTTTCTGTAAGTACACAGGTTAAGTGACAAAACACCAGTGCCCCCTGGAAGTCACTCATAGGAAAAGGTCATTTTCGAGAATCCAGAGCACTGGGCAAAGAGTGCCAAATCTGTAGGAGGCCTCCAACTCTCCCCATGCCCCACCTTTCCACCTCCCCAGCTCTGGGCTCTCCCAGGCAATCTGATGCAGACATCCAATAAGGACAACGCAGGCCCTGCACAGAGATGACACATAAGAAACACTTGGGCACTGAATACCTTCATGCCACATCACCAAATCACCCTGCCCATGGACAATTATTATTGGAAATTGTAACTGTTGAACTTTAGGATATTTGATAACATGGAAAGCTAGTTTTAAAATATCTCTGTGGGGCAAAACCAAAAAATCCACCAAGTCCTACACGATGGTTTGATTATCTCTTTATTCTTCTGTGCTGATGTGGGATTATACACACATGCGCAACACATACACACACACACTCACGCGCACACACATATACCCCTCCCCAAGTGGTATGGTAAGGGGACCCACCTCAAGTCAATCCGATTTTCCAGAAGTACCCGTGCCTTAGTTCCTAAATACTGAAACTGGTATCATTTCCTCATTAAAATACATGCTATTTTCACTGCAAATTCATGTTTCAAAAATGGGGAGAGGGTTTGCATATTGAGGTATTTAAAACCCTGATAAAGGGTATCACTCACAGTAATCAGACCATATGTACCTCGTGGAAAAAGTTAATTTCTAAACAAAGTCTAAATAACTAGGTCTGATTACTTTCTTTTTAGCAGGATTGACAGTCAACCATTTCATTCAAGGGGTGGCAAAGTTAGAATATTTTTATTAACTTCACAGTCTGCAGAAACCAAATACATTTCTACAAAATAAGTGAGAAATGAAGGGGCAATAAAGTGTAAGACATAATAAATGGCCAGGTGTGCTGTCTCTCGTCTGTAATCCCAGCACTTTGGGAGGCCAAGGCTGGTAGATCACGAGATCAAGAGATCGAGACCATCCTGGCCAACATGGTAAAACCCCGTCTCTACTAAAAATACAAAAATTAGCTGGTATGGTGGCATGTGCCTGTAGTCCCAGATACTTGGGAGGCTGAGACAGGAGAATTGCTCCAGCTCAAAAAAAAAAAAAAAAAAAAAAAAAAGAAACCACATCATAAATAGCCCAATAAAGGTCTTTCAGATGAGTTATACAGAACAAAATTACAAGACTCTAAAATAGGCCAGGCACTGTGGCTCACACCTGTAATCCTAGCACTTTGGGAGGCCGAGGTGGGTGGATCACCTGAGGTCAGGAGTTCAAGACCAGCCTGGCCATCATGGTGAAACCCTATCTTTAAAAAAAAAAAAAAGGAAAAGAAAAGAAAAAGACTCTAAAATAAATTAATTACATATATTTCATTTATTTTATAATTTTAGATTGAAACTGAATTATAAGTAAGAAATTAAACAGGATTAAAAGAGTTGAATTAAAGAAAGGACCGGCTGGGTACAGTGGCTCTCATCAGTAATCCTAGTGCTTTGTGAGGCCAACGTAGGAGAATCACTTGAGGCCAAAAATTCAAGACCAGCCTGGGCAACATAGTGAGACCTTGTCTCTACAAAATTATAATAATAATAAGCAGGCATGGTGGCATACACCCATAGTCCTAGCTACTCAAGGGGCTGAGGCAAGAAGATGACTTGAGGCCAGGAGCTCGAGACTGCAGTGAGCTATGAGGGCACAACTGCATTCCAGCCTAGGCCACAGACAGAGCCTATCTCTAAACAAAAACAAAAACAAAAACAAACAGGGCATAGGATTTGAATGTTAAAATATTGAAACAATGTATCAATCAAACTGATCTACTTAGAAAATTTATTTTTGGACACTATCTGTCCATAAACTACTAAATAAAAGTAAAATCAGTAATAACATGGAATATCTTTGCATTAGTCCATTTTCACACTGCTAAAAAGTACTACCTAAGACTGAATAATCTATGAAGAAAAAGGGTTTAATTGGCTCACAGTTCCACATGGCTGGGGAGTCCTCAGGAAACTTACAATCACGGCAGAAGGCAAAGGGAAAGCAAGGCACATCTTACATGGAGGCAGGAGATGAAGTGAGTAAGCAAGACGGGGAACTGCCAAACACTTTTAAAGCATCAGCTCGAGGAACGATCCAAGATGGCCGATCGCTAACATCCCGGGATTGCAGCTCTCAGGGAAGGCGCCGAGAACTAGAGGACGCCACACTTTCAGACAAAGTCGGGTCGCTCACGGAGCAGAAGATCCCCCAGTGGTGGAAACACACGAGTCGCCAGGGCAACTCTCGTGGTCGGCGCAGCGGTTCCGCTGGCACCTCAACACGGCAGCACTCGGCGCAGAGTAAACAGGACCGGTTCCCCTTCTGACCGAGGTTTGGAGCCCCGGGAAGGCAGAGTCGCCTACTACGGACACAAGAAGGAAGCCCGACAGGAGAATCCTGGGCAGAAAAGCACCATCAGTTTTAACGCGGCTGCTCTGGCCCTGGGAACTAACAACCTGGACGTCCACTCAAGAGACCTAATCTGAAAGTTGGTAATTTCAAAGATGACAGGAGGATAAATTTACAATGACGGGAAGAAACCAGTGTAAAAAAGCTGAGAATACTCAAAGTCAGAACGCCTCTTCCTCTAAAGATGATCACAGTTCCACATCGACAATGGAACAAGGCTTGATGGAGAACGAGCGCCTCCTGATGACAGAATCACTCTTCAAGGAATGGATAATAAGAAACTTCGGTGAGTTAAAAGAACATGTCGTAGCCCAACGTAAAGAAACTAGGAACTTTGAAAAAAGGTTTGATGAAATCCTATTGAGAATAGACAACTTAGAGAGGAGTATGAATGAATTAATGGAACTGAAGAATACAATACAGGAACTCCGAGAAGTATGCACAGGTTTAAACACTCGAATTGTTCAAGCAGAAGAAGGGATATCAGAGGTCAAAGTCCAACTTAATGAAATAAAATGTGAAGAAAAGATTAGAGAAAAAAGGATAAAAAGGAATGAGCAAAGTCTCCAAGAAATGTGGGACTATGTGAAAAGACCAAATTTACGTTTGATAGGTGTACCTGAATGCAACGGAGAGAATGAATCCAAGCTGGAAAATACCCTTCAGGATATTATTCAGGAAAATTTTCCTAAACTAGCAAAGCAGGTCAACA